AGATGTTTTATCCAGTACAGTACAGTTCAATCCCAGAGGCAACTTTTAGTTAAGAATGTGCAGGTGGAAGAAGAGAGATTTAAATGTATGGGTACTGGGACTACTAATGATTTTTTTTTCTCTTTAAATTCAGTTGCTTTTTCCGTCATAGTTCTCCTGTTCAGATATGACCTATCATTGGCCTTATCAGTGAATACATGAACAGTTTAATGTGTAAATTAAGAACATTTCCATTTTTTAGTTTGTGTCCGTTGCAGCTCTTTTGCAGCCAGTGTGCAAGACAATTGAGATTTCAACATGTAAAACCAGTTCTATTTGCTGAGGCTAAAGAACACTTTTCTGCCACTGTGAACAATTTTAGTGCTGTTCTCAACTGATTGTGTCATGGAACTTTTTGTTCTCATCTTTCTGTGCAACATAACCTGTGCTGACGTAGTAGATACTGAAAAATGAAATAGGAGGAGGTGTGACAAAGAATGCGAAACAAGGAAGCCAGGCAGAATGAAATAAAATATCTGTATTCCATTTTATTGGTGGTAACAGTGCTTATCTGTGGTAACACTCCAGAATGGCAGTAAAAGCTGGTGTGTCAGACGACTCAGCGATGCCAGAGGCCACAAAAGAGACAGCATTGTCTGCTGAGTGTAGAACCAGAGCAACAATAGTCTCTCTGCAGTTTAGATGAGACCAGGCTGTCCTGTGCCAGCGTGTTGCTGTCTCTTTGAGTGTTTGTCTTTGCCAACCTGGAACAGAGTGGCACTGAGGGCCTAGCTTCTCCCAGTACTCTTAATTGTCCTTTAACAACAATATTTATCCTATTATATACATGTAAAAAAGCGTGGGACAGGGTCTTATTTCCCCTGCGTATACTGATAGGGATAAATGTTTGCATGCATTTGTTGCTACGATCCATTGACAAATGCGATGTAAACTCTGCCCTTTACTCCTGCCATTGTTCCTCAGACTCGTGTTGCTGCCCTTACTCCCAGCTGGAGCAGATTCTTATAAAGATAAGCCTACACGGTCTGTCTTCTTTTTGTGAACTCCCAAACATATACAGGCATGCATTCCCAACCTTTGACCACTGCATGTGCATGCCACAGGGTTGTGTACTGCCCCTGCACACACACTCACATTCATATTACACACCCACACGTAGCCTCGAGCATTTAGGAGCTCTAGTACATTATTAACCCTGCTTGGAATTTTTCTGCAAAGCTTTTGTTTCCGCAGGTTTCCTAATATTGTGTATGACTAACAGAAATGACTTGTTCAGACCTTTAGAAAGGAAATTGAAGGTTAAGGTGTGTCTGCCCAGCTGCATCAAACCAAGTGCATTGTGCTTGAGTGTCAGCTTTTATGTCTTTACATGTCTTGTGTGTTTATATGTATGTAGGAAAAAAGGGGATTTGGAGATTGGGTGTCTTTCAAAACACTTGATTCCTGTCTGAGCAGCCTCAAATGTTTGAACTTTAGGGTTTTTTTTTTTGGGTCCTTGTGACGTAAATGTCGTTATTGGACCACGACTAAGGTGGTCCATTGACAGCGTGGACTCGTTTGTGGAGAATTTACATTACAATGCACCAACTACGCATGCGTCCAGGCAGCAAATTTCAAGCGGACTTCAAAGAAGTATAACAGGAGTGGCTAACTCGGTCTTCTGGTCTCCTGCTGTCCATATATGCAACCAAGTATAATCTAGGCTTTAAGTTCCCATCAGTTCACAGCTTGAGACAGATCAAGCCTTGTGTATTTGCAGTGCTGTGATAAAAGCCACTTTTTCTTTTAGTCAAATTTACAAAGCAGATGGGAGACCTGTATTGAAGAGACACAAACGGAGGCATAGACAGGGTGATGAAAGACACAAAGCAGGTTTGCTAGATGGATGAGTGATAATAAGGGTGGCACATTTTCTCTACCACTCTCTTTTTTTAAACTGTCAGCATTTTTTCTTACATATTCGTTGGCTTTCTCATTTATGCACTGTCACTGTCTTTCTTTATCTTTCATTATATAAAAATGACTTATGTGTTTTCCTTGTGAAATTCACCAGATGAGCTCCTCAAGTGGCTCTTTTGCGAGTGTGTTCTTATCTGAGCTTGGAGTCAGAGATTATTGATTACTGTTTATTTCTCTTCAGGGGATTTGTGACTGGTCAGAGTTTCAGTGAAAATTGCAACCTGTTTTTTGTCATGGGTAAAGTAAAGTTGGGTATGTGATGTATTATTTTTTTTTCCATTAGAATTGGGTAGGGTGGGTCAATGTGAGTTTAAGGTGTACGGTTGGAATTTAATTCCCATGTGGGGCCAAAACTGATTGGTAACACTAAAAACATTTACTTTTCTGTTGCTGCAGCAACTACACAACAGGAGAGTCACTTCCTACATTTAGAATGAGTCACTCACACGGATTCATTAACCTTGATAGTTTGCCAAGTGAAGCGTTGGAGAATGTTGAGTACATTTAAGCTTAATTATTTATGTTTTCGTTGTCTTTTATTCCTGCTGATTTACAAGCTTTTGTTGTCCTTTCTGCCTTATTAGGTATAATAGTGAAGTAATAAAGCTCACAAAGTAAAATAAATGAAGGATGACTCTGAGTGATTGCCTTCACACCACCATCTGCTCAGCTGTGAATGCTACTCTGCTGCATGTGCTGCCAGACAGTCCTGAGATTATTGGAAACAGTGGATTTGCTGCCTGAATAACTATTGCCAACTGGACTCTGTTCTACAAGACACACATAAGATGTGTGTCAGGCAATATATAAGGCAGCTGATATCTGTAATAGGCTAAAATCAGGCTCTAGCATGTTTAGAGGCTCATAACATGTGCACAGCAAACTGCAGCTGGTGTTTGTCCATAGCATTTGCATGTTTATGTGTTATATTTTCAGTGTATTCCCACTCTTTATCTTTGGTGATTTTAGTCCATGTTTTTAATGGTACCTTTGGTTCTCCTCCTCCTGTTTTTCCACGAGAACTGACACAGGACTCCAGAGCTGTTCTGAGAAAATGAGCTGGGTCAGGCGGATGTCTGGTTGTCAGTGTTGCTCTGCCTTTGACAAAAAGAATAGACAGCAACCTGAGACTAACAGGCCCGTTTGTTTCCTGTTAGTTTATCACATTTCACTAGCCAGGAGGTACAAGAGCTAAATATCACGGGAGAGTGACATTCTGTGCTGGGAGATGTTTCTGTGTTTGTATTCTCATGTAATCTGATTGTTATGGTGCATAAAAATCTTGGATGTCTAATGTAGGAAGTTTTAGATGAGGTGCTGCGAAGAAGTTGCAGAATTAGCCTTAATGTCAAGAGCTCAACCTCTCCTTTAGCTCCGTTTCTGTTTCTCTCAGGGTTGTTTCCGATCCATGATGGTGCCTTCCTATAAATTAAAGTTTGGTTTCCAGCCTTTAGTTTTCATTCCCATGCTTGAAAATGAATGTTTCTTCAAGTTCATATGTATGTGTTCATAAAAAGCCTCAGAGCTAAAATAAACGATTGTCTACACATTCTGTCAACCTGTTAAGCTTGATTGTGCATTACAACATAGCACACCGTGTGCCCACTCAAAGAAGAGCGTTGACATCTTTGCTTGCGTTGACATTTCTGGCGTTGGAGTTTGATAAGCACTCCCTTTTTCATATCAGGTTTCATTCCAGATGAAATCATCATACACGTTTCATCCAAATAATTTTTACCTCGTGTGATCATCCATCACTATCTCCCGCTTTATTTCCTATGATCTCATTGTATGTGATCAATCTCTAAGCTATGTGTTTTGGTGCCACATTCTGGGATGCTGTTGCCACATCCATCGGGTCTGTGATGCTGTTTAGATGCCAAACAAATGGTAAATGGCCTGTATTTGTATTTGCCGGGGAGCAGAGTTCTTGTTTGGCATCTAAACAGCGCAGAAGTAATGGTAGTGTGGACCAGGCAGGTCAGAGGAAGGGTGGGGCGAGGTCTTCGTTAAGAAAAACAGGAATTCTTCCGGCTGGAAGATGAAGTCAGTGCATTCCTCCAGAGCAGCTCCCAATAGTCAGTGGAGCATTGAAGGAAGGCCATGGTGAATGCTGGGGCTCAGTTTTAAACACCTCCCATTGAAAACCAGAGAGACAGACAGAAAGAGAACACCATCTGTCACACTGTTTGGTAAAGAGTTGCCTTTTACCCACCTAGGCTACACTTGCTGTGCCAAGTCCTTACAGATAACTCTGCCTGAGGCCTTTTTATGTGTACGACAGTGTTTTATTACCTTGTTTTGAAGTGTAGCTGTAAAAGTACAGACTGACAGCAGGACTGCACATAATGAAATTTCTTTAGGTTAAACCTGCTGCCTGGATGTGTTTTAGACTACCCGCTGATCAACTGTGGACGTCTGATGAAACCTACTTGTGGTCCTGCTGAGGCCCGACAAACTGAACACACGTACACACATTTGTTCCATCTCTCCTGCTATGTTTCGTACTCTCCCAAACACCCTCTTCAAAACATAGACACACTTGAGTTGCTCCACTTTCCCTGTCTGTTCCCCTCGGCACTAAGCTATCATAACGGCTTTGAAGGAGGGCAGCAGAGCGTTTAATTGGGTTACAGATTGGCATTTATGCTCCCAGGTCCACACGATACTGCCGGGCTTTTAACTAACCACTGGGAACTTAATAAAATGCCACAATGCTGTACCCATCAGCTGCCAGTCTTTTCTAATTCCATGATCCATGTCTCAGCACAGCAGATTTTGGATGTCAGTGCTGTTTGTTGTATAAACTGGTATTTCTACAAAACGTACAGTAAGTGAGGGCAATATGTACTGTACATCAACGTTTCGATGCATCATGTTTAGGTTATCAACAAGTTGTGTCCCATATGTTGGTGTTGGATTACATAAGCACATTGAGCTCACGTTTTTGTTTGCTGGGTATTCTTGTTACTTTGAGGAAACTTTGTTACAGTAGCACACCTCTTACTTTCTTCTCTGCTGTTTAATTTTTTTTTTCACAGAGTTAGTGCCATGCAGTGGTAAGCTGAGGAAAGCCAAGCTGAACTGATCTGCTCTGAAGACTTTCTTACCCTTCACCCTACCCTATCAGTCCCAGATGGAGCTCAAAGTGTGGGTGGATGGAGTAGTGCGGGTTGTCTGCGGTCTGTCCGAGGAGACTTCCTGTCAGGATGTGGTCATTGCTCTAGCACAGGCCATTGGTAAGTACCTCAAACGTTGTCATCATTTCATGACACCAGCTTATCTTTAAGCTTGCTTAGATAAAAGCTTGGCATTTAGATTTTTATGCATACACAAACAAGTGTACTGAAGCATCGCAGAATTGCCCTCATCCTGTTCTTTATTAACCTTTTTGCTCTCCGCTGACCCAAATCAAGTACGCTGCTGGATTGTCAGCAGGTCAGTTTGAATTTGAGCCGGCACTCTGTCCCTATATCCTCCGGCTTTATTTGAGCTATACGCTGCGGTAGGATTGAACAGAACTCCAGTTTTAGCGCTCTCCTCCTTCTATGAGCAAGCTGCTTGCCAAGTCATTAGGGAGGGTTTGTCCTAATTTCAAGGTCCTTGTGGAAACTTCAGTTTATTTGAACATTTTTCACATGTTGTGTGGCTCTTACGCAGCTGCCTTTTATTCCAGTCCACAGAGGCAGAGATTTAGACGTATCAGCATCGTCATAATGCATCTGATGTCATTTGTTCATTATTTAGAATTGGTACGAGGACATAACCCCACAGTTTTATTAAAAATAAAAGAGAGAAGCAACTAAGAATACAAAAAATTTGACTGATGTATATCATTTTTTAGGAATAAAAATATTGGTGTGCTACTTCTTTGTATGGAAATATTTAGGGTAGGAGGTTTTTTATAGTCACTCTTTATTTTTTCTGTCTTTGTCACAGGTCAGACAGGCCGTTATGTTCTTATTCAGCGTCTAAGGGACACAGAAAGGCAGCTGCTGGCCACAGAGAGGCCTCTGGAGTCTCTCGCAAAGTTGGGCCAACATGGCAATGAAGTTCAGTTCTTTCTACGTCGCACTGGCCCCAGCAGCAGTGATGGACCTGGCTCAAAACAAGAGAGACCTAATCCCCTTCCATTGCCTAAGCATCCTGAACCAGAGCCTTTGAAACGTAGCCAGCCTAAAAAAGCCCTGACCTTTAACTTGGGGCCTTCCACCTCTCCTAAGACCAAGGCCAAACAACTTAAGAGGTCTCCACGGGACTCTCCAGAACAAAGAGCCTCCCCCTCTCCTTCATCCAGCCCTCTGTCCCCTCATATGTCATCCCCTTCTCCCTCACTACCTATAGGCCCTTCAAAAGATGAAGTATTCAGGAAAGTTCTTCAGCAACAGGAGAGACTAAGAGCCATTGAGGCCCAGCTAGAAGCCCTAGAGAGGGAGTCACACACCTGGGAGCGTCCCTACCCATCTCCATGTCCCTCACCTGTTTCTGATGCTCGTTTGCAAGACGAGATGGACGCTTTGGAGCAAGCAATGCGAAGGAACCAAGCAGAGCTTGCACATGAGCAGTACTGGGAGGAGGAGCTAAAAGCCGAGGTAGAAAGCGAGCGAGGAATGCGAAGGAAGCTTGGAGAGCTCCATACAAAGCTAGATGACTGTGGACGGCGGCTCCATGAATTCTCAGTTCGCTCTGCTCAGCTGGAGGAAGAGATCCAGCGGGAAACCCAGACACAAGGGAAAGCCACAGGACCTGAGGAGTCGTTTGACGCTGTAAGGGAAGAGTTACAAAGTCGAGAGAGACATGGGACAGAGCTAGAGGAACAGCTATCTGAGACTGACAAGGCTCTGGAGAAAGCAGAGTCTCTGTTGCAGGTAAGGAGAGAGGTCTGTGCTTTAGAAAAAGGGCTGTAACTCCACACAAGCCCTTCTGTTGTCATTTCAGGGGTGCAGTCCATACCCTTTTTTGTATTACTCAAAACAGTATTCATGTTATACACTCCAATAAACAGTATGTCACGAAGCCTCGTGCATATTGATGAAACTGCAGTAATATGATTGCTGAATGCTCATATTCTACCATGTCTGAAAGTGCTTCATTGTCATGAGCTATTTACAACCTAGCTTAACTGGTTTAGCAGGTATCATCTTTTATGTATCGCACTTTCTAAATACGTGGTTACTGACTGTGTTTATATTATGTCGGCTTATATATGCATATTGTATTGTTTATAGATTAAAAAAAAATATTAAAAAGATTTGATTTGTAGAACAAAAGCCTCTTTTATTGGATCTATTTCTCAGCCTCAGCGTGTTGTAGTTTAGAAAGTCAGTTTGCTTTTGGTTGTCTTAGATGTGGCTTCATCAGTTTGAAGTGAAACGTGTGTTTCCTCTATGATAGTGATAGTTCAGTTTTTCAAATCCTCATGCACTGAAAGCCCAGAGTGTCCCATTCTTTGTCCTGTAGGCCACAATAAATATCAAAATATATCGTCACTCATGCTAATGGGGATGCATTTGTCATGAAACATTTTGCTGCGGAACAGAGGTGTCAGGTTTTTTCTTTTGGGGGGCGGATTGTACATGGCTGTATAAAAACACCAGGTCATAACAGGTAACCAACAGCACTGTGAGTGCTTATAATCCAAAAGTAGCGCCAAAGGCATTTTGCCACCCAGACAGTAATTGTATGGAGGGAATGAGAAACCAGTATTTCCTGTAAATGAAATATTAACCTGACAGGGTATAATAAACCTCCGTTCGTAGTAATGGAAAGGGTCTATGTCAGCTGATCGGTTGAGGCAGCCAGCCGAGTCTTTAAAGTGTTGGTGGTGATGAGCACAGTGTTCCTGCCATCAGACTAATGGAGGAAGACCTGCAGGTATGAACTGCCTCACCAGAATGTTGTGGTCCAACATCAATTACTCAGAGACACACACTTATTGGCTTGTTTGTGTGCACCTGAGTTCAGTCTGCGAGCCTAAAGGTGATGCCACTGCTTCACAATGTTCTTGAACACCAGCTTTTCAGTAATCTGAAGGCATCTGAAGACAGATTTAAAGGGAAAAAGCAAATGAGCTTTGGCCAGTATCTATTTATATGTTTGCATCAGGCTGCTTAAATCTGACTGAATCAGAAAAAGTGTCATGGCACTTGTGGTGATTTGATTATTCATTGCAACTGAAACTGTCTAGTGGTGACGTGATGGGCAGTAATCTTAATCAGTGACTGGAAGGGAGACTTTTAGAGTCTAGTGCCCCCTTGTGGTGAAAGCAAAAAACGTTCATTTATAAATGCAGTGATAAATTGTCCCTGCAATTGTGCAGACGGGACATATACCCACTACTAAACATCCTTAAATATGCATCCATACTTGAAAATGTGTAATAGTTTTATATGCTGCACCCACTTTCCTTTACAGGTAAAATACTTGTCTTAGATTTCTCTCACTGATCCACATTCTTCCCATTTCAGGACAAACAGGATGAGCTGGAGGAACTGAATAAGGAGCTGAGGCAGTGTAACCTGCAGCAGTTTATTCAACAGGCGGGTGTCCTGCCTGTTCAAACCAACTCACGCACAGAGCTTCAGGAGCAACTGGAGCAATTTCTACAGGATGGATACAGGGATGGAAGTAAGGAAACAAAACAATCCCTCAAATATTAATATTATGTTATGGTATACCTGATTTGTGTCATCTAAAGATATTTCTTCTTTTAACTCAGATCAGGGTGTAATTCAATTTGAATCTCCACCTCGTCCTACTGCAAAGCAGTTCCTGGGACATCCACGCAACCTTCAAAACCCTCTAGTGTCCAGCCTCAACCCTGAGGGTGTGTATGTGTGAGACCCCGCTGCTTCTCAAGTCCACAACCCTGCTCCTCTCCTGCCCTGCTCTGTCCATCCCTTGGTCCCAGAGCCCCTCACCCCTGCCATATTTTCTACCCCAGCTTGATTGGGTTTCGGGCTACAGCTGTCGTTTATGGTGTTGGGTAGTCGAAGCATCCCTATGGTGGCTGTCCCTGCTGCTTCCCAGCAGCTTTCCTCTGCTCTACATTTAAAGACATAAAGACCTCTATGGCTAATTTTCAGTCTTCTGCAGATTCTTGTCCTCAGCTTTTTACAGTATTCTTAGAAGTCCATCCAATTTGTCACATATTCCTGTATGCTTTAACTTTTGTGGGTCTGTTTACTCTGTCGATTTCCCTTACTCCTTGTTCTCCGCATCTTACTATATGCTTCTGTACTAACAGTAGCTGCTTTTGTTATCCTTTAATGCATTTAGGGATTTGCTGCTAACCCTTTTCCCCTCCTCTGTAATAACAGAGTGGCCTTTCCACCCTCGAGTCAATAATCGACTATCAACAGCTGCTTTTCAAAGTATTTCCATGTAACACAGCAATTGCACTGGGAATTACTGTGGCAGGCATTCTGATTGTGTTTGTTGTTTTTGTTTTGTTTTTTTTACTCTTGACATGAAAATACATGCCACCAATGTAATTTCAGTTTGCCTTTTATGTATGGATACTATTTATAAGAGGGATGTATCTATACAATGCCTTGTACTTTGGTGATGCTTGACCAAAGAGCAAGAGCCTTTTACGAGGGCTCTGCAAAATATATTGCACTGTCCCATTCTCTTCCCATGTGAAGCCTTGGTCCCTGTGTGCCTGCAAAGAAATGGTATCTTCCTGCTCTCTTTCTGGAGACAGTGAATCGTATTTGGTGAGCTTGTATCTCTCGCAAGTCCATTTTTGCCAAACTCCATGCTAAAAGAAGAGATTCATTTCAAAAGTAGTGCCACAGGACCAGGGTTTGTTAAGATGCTTTTCTTTTCCTCCACTGGAATGAATCCGCCTGGTTCCTTTGCTTTCGTCACACTTAACATTTGACCTGTCACAATTCGCACTGTACCTCAGTGTGCTGTAGATTTAGGATCAGCTTAGTTCACATACGTAGATTCCAATAACAATCATCAATCAAACAAACAATGGGAGCTATCATCCATAAGTGATCCTGCAAACCACCTTAAATCAATATTTATTGTGTCTTAGCACGTAATATCTCATTATATTATCTTTGTATGTGTCTGTTTGCTGACAGGTCAAAGTGACGTGTGTTGAAGTGTGCACTCTCTTTACCTTCTGCTGTGTGATGCGGTTTTCTTTTTGGGGTTATATCAATTCTCTCTCCTTTGGAAACAGACTGCATCCCAGTGCTTGTTATAGACACAGCTTGAAACTGCGTGTGTTCAATAATACTCATCTGACTGCAAAACTACAGTCATGGTGCTCAAGCCTTGTGGGAGCAGGAATGAACCCAGTGACTGGGTTTGGGTCTATCTGTGTTTCTCATAGGGTTATGTGAATATCTTGATTGACCCAAATCTCTCGTGTTGTGTCTTAGCTGAAAAGTGTTATTTTTTTCTTTCCCTCAATACAAAGGGATCATCATCCCCATATATTTTTGTGTCTTGCAGTCCTGACATCCCGAGACTCGTCATGGAGATAAAACATGGACCGCAGGGCCAAGGAAAAGTTGTTCACTGTTCTGTCACCATCACCTCTTATTTAACACTTTCCTTTGTAACGCTCATTTATTTTTTCAATATACCATGATATATATATATATATATGTATATAAATAAGACAAATATATTTACAGAGTTTTCCTACTGTAAACACTGCAGAGTATCTGTATGAAATGTAAAATAATTAGGAACCTTTGACCTAGAGAAATTATTGCAATAACTATGTATTTAAATATAATAAAATGTCCACAGTGTTTTAGATAAACTTTTATTGTCTGACTGGTTTTTGCTACACTCCTGTTCAAATTTTATTACAGACATATTTCTTTAAATGGTGCAGTCCATTAGAATCCACTTTCTAAAATGGACAGTGGCACACAGCATGCGAAATGCATTATGAATATATTATATGTACTGAAATATGCATGTTTTCCTCATAGCGGGTGGTACAGTACATGATGTGAGAGTACACAATAATTTCCAAAGTTCACAAAGCGCATCCTTGCTTGTCTATGCATCACAGCTGTTCCTGTTATGGATGCAGTCGCACAGTGCATCTATATGAAACTAAAAACAGGAACAGGAGCATTGCTCTATGATCTGTTTAGCTGTAAATAATGTTGGCGTTCCTTTGACACTGATGATGTCAGTTTAATCAGTGGCTTTTCTTTTCTTTCCACTAGAGGAGATGCCATTGCTTCACTACAACGAGGTCAGGTGCATCGAGTGTCTTGTGTCGTTAAATTGCAGACGTGCTAAATTATTATGCAATTTGTAGTTTGATTGTTATGTAATTTGTAATAAGAATCACCCTGTGCAAAAAGGCACGACACATTTGTGCTCCACCCCTTTCCTGTTTTGTTTACTCTGGAGGGTAAATATTCTGGCTGTCACACACTGAGTGACGCGAGCCTTCCTCTCTCTCCGGCTAACCCCCACCTGAAACCCTGTGGACGTCTAAATACTCTCATGTACTGATACTCAGCAGGTATAATTACAGGGAGAGTAAATATTTTTCTTCTGTCTGTCCATTTAGGTGTGTCTATTAGAAACTGTGTCCATCCATCAAAAACATTGATGTATTTTTTTTTTTCATCTGCCTTTTCTGCTTTGTGCCAATTTTAATGACTTGTGAATTATGGAAAATTAGATGAGACTGCCAGTTTTGATATTATGATCAATTATGTGGAACTGGATTATCCTGAGAAGATTTAGAGCTGTCTGGCTTTGTAAGGGTTAGATAAGCTTCAAATCCTTGTTTAGGTCCCGGTGTCTGGACAAGCACGAGCCTCATGTGACACTGATGCCAACCTGTGGACACAGGAGGAATTACAAAATGTGCCCTTTTCCTAAAGGAACCTTTATAGTTTCCTTTCACTATATTAACAGTAATATTCTGATCTCTTCAAATTATGTAAAAAAGAAAAGTTGTTACTTGAGGACCCTTCACTTTTTTCTTTCTTTTTAAAAAAAGATTATCACAGGATAATGTTACGCATGTTCCCACACCCCAGACATCCCACGTGCGAAATGAGGCATCCACCCATTTCATATCTAAACCCTGAGGGCTCCAATCTCATAAGGGCACATTAACAGATTACGACTATGTTTTAGGACGACGTGCTGACAAAATCTTTTCTCATCAAACAAATGCGCATAAAAGGTGCTGCAAAGCTTAAAATTTGATTGCTTTCAGATATAAAAACTCATCAGCTCACCATGTGCATCGGGCACTGGTTGCCTGGGAAAGAACCTCCTTGGAATGGGAGTGAGCATCTGCACGTCCACACGTTATGATGATGAATGAGGCCATGAGTTAATGAGTCTGACATACTGCACTTATCTATTCCTTTGTGTCACTGTGAGTCATTATGCACTGATGGGGATAAAACATCCTCACACCAAGAAATGCACTACAGGGCACAACACACAGACATTTGATTTGAGCAGAAACTTTACTTTGGTTACTTACAAGCATACATTGTACATACTGTATTGCTGCAATCCGTATGTATTTTCTTACACGGTAAGGTTGTGTTACTATATAGAATATAGTTAGTCTATATATGGTTATAGTCTGATTACTATGCATAATATTATCATAATATTGCATAATATTAGTCATTCTGTCCTGAAACCGAGTTTCTTTATAGCACTGTTCATCTTTTCCTTATGGGCCCAAAGGAACCTCTTGGAAGAACCCTCTGGAGGCCCCCTGACCTCAAATTGGTAACCAGTGAACGTGAACATGATCCAAACCCAACAGATGAAACAGAAACGAAACACTCACCAGGAGTCTCAAATGATGGCATTAAAGAGGAGGGAGTGCAAACGCCACACGGTCCTAAATAAGGTACTGTGTGAACATAGTAGGAAGTAGGTTACGGTACACATGGAGACCACTGGGAGAGCATTTATGTCCAGGCGGTGCTCACGGGGCCACGATCAAGGGCTGCTTGTAAACAGGTGTCTGTCTAATCCGGCTCTGGCTGGGTCTCAGACGAGTCAAAAATATGAGAGGTGTTCCCAAAACCAGGTTAGCCGCTGTCACACGCACAGTGGAACTGGAAACTGGCACAATGTGCGTTAGTCAGTGGCTTACCTGCTTTTAGACTGCAGATTTTGGCCTCAAGGCGCGCACAATCTGTGGAGTAATACAGACAAACGCTGTGTCATAAACAGCTGAATTATTTAAAGTTATTACACACACAAAACGACACGATAATGAAATTATCATCATGGAATCTTCTATGGTTTCCTGGAAACTAGTCTCTTCCAGAATAAGACATTACACTTAGCTTCCTGCCCACGATTTATGGATTACGGAAATATATAATAATGCTTTCATTTTCAATTGGCATTAAAAAAAGTTCCTAATTAACATATAATCACACGTGAACACTTGGCGACCCTAAACACAATATTACGGTGTTATAACCAAATAGAACATCTAACGACATGCAGGATATATGTGGCCTGTTCCCCACACCATATAGAGAGAATAAAGAATAGTGGCAGATAAAGCAGAGCTACTTACCAGTCCCAAGTTTTCTTTTTGGAATATGTTTTTAGGAAAAATCTTGAAGTTTTCCGCCTACGTCCCAGTCTGCTCATAATCCGAACATCCAGCTAGTTTTTTCCTCTATTATAAATCTCAGAGCATGATTAAAGTTGGGTGCATTTAAGAATATAGTGTAGCCTACACCGACGCAGAAGTTCAATTCACTTGCACTACCCCTACCCTGCCCACTCCTCTGCATCTGCAACCCGACCTGGTTATTCAAATTAGGAAGAAGTTGACATCACGCTCAGCCAACGGGCTCCTGCGCTGGGGTTGAATGGCCCACCTTTTACGGATAATTGACCAATCACAGCCTGGGAGAGGCGGGGTTTTAGAAGAGCACCGTTCGGATGAGTTCTCCTGTTATAGTTGGGGTGCGGCGCGTTCAGTTTTGCACGTCGTACATTAGGAATGAACCATTATGTTGTTAACAGTTTCCTGCCCTGCTCGATTATTTATTGCGAGCATCAACGCCGAACAGGTTTCTTTGCCCTTAAATAGACATCATGTGATGCGACAGCTGCCATTGGAGGTGGCATATCTGTACTTTAGACTAGTTTGATAAAAGACGCCCCTACCCCTACGATGTGAAGTGGTTGAACTCGACTCGCTTGTGTACAGTGTTGCCATTAGCCGAGTGTGGCTGAGCACGTACCAAGGATGCTGCATGACAGCCTGATCTGACGGTGACGAGGAGGTGGAGGAGGAGGACGACGGGGATAAACTCTCAATTATTTACGACGGGAGAGTTGAGGACTCCCTAACAAATGACATAATATCATAGCGAGTTAAAGCAATGTGATTGTGAACGACCCCCGATTAGATGACATTACCCCCCCCCGCCCACCCATATTTATTCATCGATTAATTAGTTGTAGTTATCTGTTAAAGTGAAACAATGTTACTTTGATGAATTAACCCATTTTTAAACTGTAACATGTTCTCTCTTTCCAAGGTGTTATCAGACTTTTCTAGACTGTCAGAGCGTTGTAGGATTATTCACAGCCAGGATACACATAACCCGTGACATGGAGTAGAAAATCAGGATTACGCACATTGCATTACGTAACAGTTGATTTTGTGTAAATTGGAGTTATCTCTAGGGGGCGACAGAGTTTGGCGTTTCAATACAATCCGGCACAGACCCTCTTGGTGTTATTGCAGGTGTACCCCTCTATACTGTTATGAATTTGTGCAAGTGAACTTAAAATATCACCTTTACTGTGGAGCGCATAGGCACGAACCAATAAAAATAAAGAAATCGGTTTTAAAAAGGGACGCAAAGCACTTGACCTCTCGTTGACCTCATGCCACTTAAGATGATGTGAACTCTAAACTACTGAAATTAAGTACTGTTAAATCTAAAACAGCGTTTTTCTTGAAATGTCTTGTGGTTTATTACTGCCAGACTACACTGTGTCCATCTAAAATGTCATTCTGTATTTTTCTAATCATAATTTTCTGACTAAAAAGGAAGACCTCAAATAGACTACCACTCTAAAGCTGTTACTATAAAAACAGCTGCCTTGGTTTATTTGTTTATTTAGTATCTGGACCTCTGAACTACAAATTACATTTGAACTACAAATTGTGCCAAATAATAGAGGTATCACCTCATTGCCCCTTCTATCATTCCCCTGCTACAGATCTCTCCTCCCTGGATGCTCATGTCCTCTCTCTATAACTTAATTTCTCTCCCTTGCATATTGTAGTGGACTTCAAATTCGGGTTAGGGTTATATTGAAAGAGAGCTGCTTTATGGTATACAGTTCTACCACCTAAAATCAGACCTCATGCAATCCCCACAGATTTTTTTTTAACACACTGTTTTCAGAAGAAATCTGTTTAAAATCTACACTGTAAGCATTATGCTTTCCTTCATGCTCCTCTGTGCTAGTTTCTGAGCTCCTACTCTGCACTGCTGTTGACATGTTATTTTAAAAAAAAGCAACATTTTAAAACTAAATATTCCTATTTTGTATGTTTCTGTTGTGTATTTAATAAAAAACATAATTCATTCTTAAATCTTTACTCAAAT